CCACACAAGGTTTACAATGTCAATACCTTTTCTGCAGTTGTCATCAAATCCAAATTTGATCACATCTTAAAAAAAGAAAAAGAAAAAAGAAAAAAAAAAGACTTTGGAGTTGAAAGATTTGACTTTAATGAGAAAATCCAGTTAAAGATAATTGAGCCACATGCTCTACTTCCTGTCAGGGTTAGATATCTTTTTTCAACACTAGCACGTGGCCGAACGATCCGACCCTTCCTCGCAATCTGCAGCCAATTCTGTGTCCTCTCTGCACCCTCTGGCACAGTTTGTTTGTTTTGCAGTCCAACTGAATGGGGACATTTTGGCCTCTTGCATCTGATCCTACAAGGGAATGATCGAAGAAACAGTTTCTGAGTATTGGTGTCCATGTCAGCCTTTGTGTGTGCTCACAGAAGACTGACGCTTTCAGTTGTTGGAAGTTTAGGATGTTGGAACTATATGTTTGAATATTACAATTAAGCATGCAAACCCCAGGACACGAGATGTCGGCTGGCACAGAGCTGGGAGTTTTCCATATTAAGTTCAAGATTTAGAAATAACTTCTGACCTGGATTTCTACTAATGCATGCTGCTAATATCTCATTTCATCCTGAGGTGTTTCTAAATAAGGGCTCCACAAGTTGGACGTCCTTGTAATCTATCTCCAGACAGACTAAAGTGCTCAAGTAAAACCTTTCCAGGGATCTTAGTCTTCACTCTTTAGGAACTTCTGTTTGTCAATAACAGGCTAACATTTCCCATGGCAGAAGGGCTGATTGCAGACACAGTAATGCAGATATTTTCTCAGATAGTTTAAGTGTTTACATCTCTGCCTGAAATCTGTCAGATTTTATAGAAAGCTATCCCAGAACAGGTTTAGCTTTCTACTGATGTTTTGAGTTCTTCAGGCTCTGACGAAGGAGATGGCAGGAAGTCCGCCACTTTGTTCCAGACTGAGATACTTGAGACAGTCAGAAGATGGATTGGTGTGAAATTTGTGGTCCCAGGAAGATAAATAACATTATTCAGAATCAGAATACTTTAATAATCTATAAGGAAATTATGTGGGTTACAGTTGCTCCAAGACAATAACAGTAACAGACTGAACTAAATAAATAATACAGGGTGGGCCATTTATATGGATACACCGTAATAAAATGGGAATGGTTGGTGATGTTAAAGTCCTGTTTGTGGCACATTAGTATATGTGCGGGGGCAAACTCCTCAAGATGGGTGGTGACCATGGTGGCCATTTAGAAGTCGGCCATCTTGGATACAACTTTTGTTTTTTCAATAGGAAGAGGGCCATGTGACACATCAAACTTATTGGTAATGTCACAAGAAAAACAATGGTGTGCTTGGTTTCAACGTAACTTTATTCTTTCAGGAGTTATTTACAAGTTTCTGACCACTTATAAAATGTGTTCAATGCTGCCCATTGTGTTGGATTGTCAATGCAACCCTCTTCTCCCACTCTTCACACACTGATAGCAACACCGCAGAAAAATGCCAGCACAGGCATCCAGTATCCGTAGTTCACTTTACTCAAATAGCACCTGCAGTCCCAGTCACCAGATTTCAATCCAAAAACCCAGCATCTTTGGGAAATGCAGTCAACAAGTCTGCAACAACTGCGTGATACTATCGTGGCAATATGGACCATGCTCTCTAAAGAACGTTTCACCTTATTGAGTCTATGCCATGAAGAATTAAAGCAGATCTAAGAGCAAAATATGGGCTCAACCCACTATATCCATAGTACTTCATGCCAATAAGAGTATTTCTAGGAAAGCTTTCGTTACCTGTAAGGGTCTCTTTAGCGTCCAGCATATCAGTATCAGAATGCGGCCTGGTTCCTCCACTGAGGATTTCATCTGAGGCCTCTTTTTCATGTTTGTCTAAGGAAGTACACTTAGGAGTGTACATTACAACAAATTCATCCCTTGATTAGACAATAGTATGTTCAGAGAAATTGAAAAAATAAAAAAAACCCATGAGCTACATCTCAGACTGATGTTAAATGCTAAAACGTTCAACAGTAGAATTAGAAAGACTGACCAGGTCAGTCTTTCTAATTCTACTGGGTGTAAGGGTTTGGAAGGCAACCTTTCCTAACCCTTGTTTGGAAGTGTTGCCTGCAGAAACCTTCATCTTCTTAAAAAGAACAGGTCAGCATGTCTTAGCTTTGCAAAGTTGCATCTGTACCACAAGATAACTGTAACTATGTGAAAACCAACACTGCTGAGCATTGTTGGTTTTCACCAACAATGCTCAGCAGTGGCAATGGTTGGTGAAAACCAAACACAGCATATCAGCACAAACACATCATACGGGTGACGATCTTGGCACCTTGCATTCATTTAGTTAAGCATGAACTCCTCTGTATACCAAAATATTCTGCAGTAAAATGTATGAGAGCTAAAGTTTGGCTCAAATTGAGTCATGCAACAGGACAACAATTCCCAGCACAGCAGGACAACTACAAAAGAATGGCTGAAAAAGAAAAGAAACCCGATATTGCAACAGCCCAGTTAAAGTTCAGACCTCAACCTGATTGAAATGCTGCCGTGTAACTTTAAGAGAGCTGTTCTCAAACCTCTGAAATGAAGCAACGCTGCAAACAAAAGCATGCCAAAATTCCACAAAGTGACAAGACTGATAAAGTGAGGAAATGAACTAATGATAAATTCAAGTTATTGCTGCTAAATGATGGGGCATTTTTCACAGGACTGCACAGATTCCTGTAAAAACCTTCTTTTTCACATGACTCCACATCCCACAGGGTAATGCATACACCCCTTCAACAGAGACTTGCCTCAGTACATGTGAACCAAAATTAGCCAAGAGTTCTCAGAACTGTCATGCAGTTGTAGCACATTGTGATACTCTCAGTATTTGAACAGTGTTATATCACTGTTTGTTCAAAGAGCTGTCTCAGATTTACACAGCCAGCTCTCTCCTGCTGATGCAATGACCTAAAAAATAACTGGTTTCTATTCAGTAAACAGAAATGAGCACATGATGTTCTGTTTTATGTAATGTTGACTGTATAATTTGATTCTATTTTCATAGTGTGCCCTCATGTGAAATATTTTCTGCAAGCAACATGAAGACAGAGCTTTTACTTCATGAGGTCAAGTGGGAGCCCAAATT